TTTTTTGGAGATAAGATGACCTATTTTTGACCCGTGTTTTGCTCATATCTCTGTCAAATGTCAAGGTATCGAGCTGAAAATTTTACCACAGCCTTCGCACTTCAGCCCCAACATATGCTCCAAATTTCAGCCCATTTGTATTGACCAGGGCTGAGATCGATCTTTGAGGGGGAGGGGACCTTAAATTTTTATAATCATGTGAACTTATTAATTATTAAAAGAACGCAGCCAAATGCGTTAACTCGTTCTTTTCTATATTCCGAGGGTTTAATTCTTTTATGTAATTGTTCTTGCCTGATCAGATTTAGATGCTACATTCGATCATCTTGTGAACATTTTATCATTAATTCCTCGCCCGCGGTTACTGTTGGATGAGATTATATAAATAAGTTGTATTTGGCGGTAATCAGCAACCATTTTAACTGGCAGCCGTTTTGTAAAGAGTATTATAAAGAATCTTATCCTTCTGCCTAAAGATTATTACTTTCTTTTTTGAATATTCTCTACTTCGTTAATTACTAAAGTATTATCGACAAGTTCCTGTTCAGCTTTAAAGGTAATTAAATTTTAATTATTCTTTTAAATAATTAGGATGTCAGCTGTTGCTTCATCATCTGTTACTACCTTGTCTTCTACAGACACTTCATCTATTCCTTGCGCACCTGGTATAACTGATGGTTCTGAAAAAGGGTTTTTTGATAACGTTGAAAAATATGTTGCTTCATTACAAGAAAAGTATCGAGAGAAAACATTCATAAGAAAAGAAACATATGATAAAATACTCAAAAGTTTACTATTAGACAAAGGTACATCTTCGGAATCAGTTCCCACAAAGTTTGTATTTTGGGCTAGGAAAAACTTTATAATTCAGAAAATTGCTGGAACTGATATTGTTTGTTGTTCGAAAAATAAAAAACCGCTGTGTATTTACGAATCATTTTTTAATGTAATCAAAGAATGTCATTTAAATGTATCACATGGTGGTAGAACTAAAACCCTAAACGAAATTAATTCGCATTATTCATGGGTACCTAGAGCTGTTGTAGAAATATTCTTAAGGCATTGTCTCCCGTGTCAACTTCGAAAACCATTAAAACAACCAGTTGTTTCGAAACCTATCATATCATTAGGTGTTATGACACGTCTACAAATTGATTTAACAGATATGAGAACAAGACCTGATGTTGTTTCTGCAGACGTTGTTTACTGTTGGATATTACATTGTATTGATCATTTTTCAAAATTCACTTGGGCTTATCCATTAGAAACCAAATCAGCCAAAGAAGTGGTTGTAAAACTTCGTCAGTTATTTTTTACTTTTGATCCCCACGTTTATTACATTTAGATAATGAATCAGAATTCGTTGCTAAGGTTATTTTAGAACTAAAAACAGTTTTTCCCAATTTGTGCTTTATTCGTAGTCGTCCACGTCATATACAATCGCAAGGATGCATAGAAAGGGCGAATGGCGTCTTAAATTTATCGTTAGGAAAGTGGTTACAAACAAATAACATAACACACTGGTCAGAAGGTTTATTGCCTGTAGTTTACGGCATCAATACAAGAACATCTGACACTACTAAAGCTACACCCTACGAAATCATGTTTGGTCAACACCCTCGAGGTGATTCCGAATTTTGGAAAATTGTAAAAGATCAAGATATTGTTGATGAAGAACATTTACCTTCACCGATTGAAAGTATTCAAGATAGTGATGTTGATGAAGATATTTCTGTTAGTACATCTAAGACAATTGATAATATAATTGATAATATTGATCATCAAGAATCTCTTCATAATTCAAATGTAACATGTTTACCCAGTCCTCTAAATGCTAGCATCTTTCAATCTACTTCTCAATGCCTTCTTAATTTATTACCATCTACTCTGCATGTTTCACTTCAACAACCGTTGATTGTTAATGATAACCCAGTAACAGAAAATCTAATATCTTTTGATTCGTCTCCATCTCCTCAACGAGTATCAACAACACTTTTTGACTTACATAATTTAACTTTCAGCCCAGTCACATGTTTAAGTAACGAAAATAACGTAGTACTTTCAGATTTACAGTCAATATCTACAGCACCTGCTACGAATTCTATTTCAAAAACTAATTGTGTTTCTCAATCATCCTCATCTTTTATAAGCTATAATTCATCAGAAAATAACCCAATAAGACATGAAAGTATTCGGCGCAAAGCGCAAGATAATTATTTAGAACCAGCTAATAAACGAAGAAAAGCGTATGATGAACATCTAGGTAGTTTGGCAGAAATGTATAAAAAAAATGATTGTGTTGGAGTGCGAATTCATACTGTTGACAGGACAAATACAGATTCAAAAATTTTACCATGCTTAGTTGTTAGTAAAGAAAAGAAAGATGACGATTATGTTTTTTTTTAGCGTGCCAATTCGGATTCTTGAAAGACAGATTTGGTATAGAAAGTCTTATTGATCAACGAAGTAGCTGTCCTAATGAATTAAAGTCTCTTAATTTATTTGATTTAGAGAAGGAACTGTCTTTGATTGAAGCGTCGAAATTATATGTCCGTGGAGCAATAAATGGAGCTACTTGTGACTGTAAAAGCCAGTGTGCCACTAAACACTGTCCTTGTAAAAAGGCCGGGGTCGCCTGTTCCACCAAATGCCATTCAAAAAAGGGTAAATGTAAGAATATGGTTTAAAAAAACATTATGTTCTTTCTAGGTACACTGCTAACACTACATGTTGATTGATATTGATGAAAACAAATGTACATAGCTATTTTCTGCTGCGGATATATTCTTTTTTATTCTATTTTTTTAGAATTTGAAACTCAGAAAAGTTCTGTAAATACATATCAGATTTCTTTACTACCATTCAGATGAGTGCACATGTACATAATGAAATAGATTGTTTTACTAGTAAATGTTCGTATTTGAGTGCACATATATTAATACACAAAATGAAAAAACTACTTAGATATCATGCCACCTTTTCGTGGTTAAGTAGATCGGTATTTAGTAAGGATTTGAGTATGTTTTAGCAGTACAAGCATGTCTTCAGTCTTTATTAGAGAAACAAAGAGAATGATTATAAAAATTTAAATAACAGTTGATTGTATGATATATCAATATGATATTATATAAAAAGCATGATTATCAATTTTAAATAACAATTGCATTTCACTCTTGTAATATCTCAGATTTGTCAAGATTCCAGTTTTGACCAATATTTCTCTAGTCAAAACTAGAATTCCAGTTTTGACCGAGCAAATCTCAGTTTTGACCAAATTCCAGTTTTGCCCGTAACATATTCACGCAAACTTAATTACATATATCGCTAATAAAATCCTAAGCAGCATTGTGCAGTTGATATAAAAGGCACAGGAATAATTGTGAAAAGGATCACGAAACAAGACATAGTTAATATTACTACAAAAATTGACAAAGAATACTCCACTTGTACAGTAATTTGAGACTCTCTATAGTGTATTGCTGACAACCAAAAAAAGATAACGTATCGTTGTCTTTCCTGAAGTCCTTAATGAAACATCGTCTGCAAACAATTTACAAGAACACTGAATTGTGCCGGTCAGATCGTTAAAGTAAGATAAAAATAAAAGCAATCAGCGCTGAGTCTTGCGGTACTCCACGAGTAACATACATCAAATCAGATTTAAAACCTGCAACAATTGTCATTATTCATCGTCTTGATAGATAACTACCAAGCCAGTTGATAATTGGCGTTAATATATGTGCTGTTTCACCCACAGACAAGAAGTCAGAAGAATTCAAGTATTAATTGATGATTACTGTTAGATCTCTATATTCCTCCACATCGCTTCCGTTTAGCAGCTGTGTTTATAACCAGACGCGACCATTATATGAAATTAAGATTAATCTGTATTATTGTTGTCTCGATCACTATCGTATGAGTAATGAAAAGAAGATAGCAATTGATTTACCATATTTTATGTGGTAACAGATGAGATCATTGTAGGTCTCACAATAATATGAAAAAAATAAACAGGATGGATAGAAACTATAAAAGAAAAGAAGAAAACTACAAAGAAAACTGTTTCCTGAAGTAATACTTGTCTCGTATTAGTAATGCATTAAATTAATAACGCACTTAACACGACTTAGTAGTAAAAAAACACGTCATATATTTGATGTTATCAGTTTTGACAAATATTAAACTAGATGTTTGTACAAAACTTTTCACAAACATATATAATAGTTTACTATTTAACTTTGATTTTTGAAGAAGTTTTTTTCATACCACAAGAGCAACTTGTAAACGTGCAATATTTGAGTGCTGCTTTTATTGAAGGAAACATTACTTAAAAAAGTTAAAAAATACACCAGAAAGAGATAATTAGAGTCAACGTTGACCAAGTTATTCTACACATTTGAGTGATCGAATTGATTCTAAAATCCGTCGGAATATGGTTCCAAATATTTGGTTGGCACACTATAAATGAAATTGCATATTATCACTCTGATTAACAAAATGATCAACTAATCATACAAATATTACGATCCTCTACTATCTTCAACTGTCTTACCTTGTTATTTGCTTTCCCGTACTGATAATAGCCATATCTGGATATTCCTCGCCAGTTTTAATAACTATCTAAACAAAAGGCACGCTAAAACTTAGAATATTATATTATTAAAATGAAACTTTTTTGGATACCTGTCCTTTGCTCAGTCGTACAGATGAATCTTTGTGTAGATAAGTATGAATACTTTGACGAACTCGAACAATTTTATATCCTGGCATAATCTTTGAGACACAGCTTGAAGGAAAATAACCGGTCTTTTGTCCATCATTGGCAGTGCCCCTCCACCAGTCAGGATCTGATGAATCAATAACCTTGACTGATGTACCTAACCTGAAATAATCACCATAAATGCAATTCACAATAGTACAAGATGAGTAGGTCTAAAATTATTGTACCGTAAATCGATATCATCTGGACTTGCAGCAATATAACCGTACAAGACAACATACACCTCATCGTCTATCTAAAGTGAAGCGTTTAAACCAATTGATTAAAAACGTATGTTTTAATATTTTACTTATACTAGCCAATGTTTTTGTTTGTTTTTGTTCAAGTTTTCCTGTTGTTATGGTATACGATTTTTTCTTTATCTTTGACAACTGTCGTTGTCTGAAATCCACTATTTCTCGTTTTGTTTCGTTAGCTAGGGTCATATCATCGAATGAATGACTTAAGACAGGTGTTTGCTCTTCATATTCTTTTAAATGGTGAAATAAGAATTTTTAATTACAATTTTATAATGGGAAATCAATTAGTACAATGTACCTTTCTTGGGATTGTATTCGGGATTATCGACAGAAATACTTTTTATACGAAGATCAAATTTGACACGTCGTCTTGTTTTAGGCATCTCCGTTCCTATAGAAGGAGGAAAAACCATTGAAATTCTAAGCATTTTTGTATAGTTATTAATGAAAAATGAAGAAGAGATCAGCGTATGATCAAGGAGCGTTGAAATTTATCATATCACGTTTATTGATCGTGATTTAAAATGCAGCCTTTTTTTAATCTGAATATTGTATCTCTTATAATCTTCTTATAGACAAGAGATTTGCTAACAGCCTTTAATTAGGGGGAAAATGTGTTTTGATCACCAAACTTATTAGTTGTGAAATAATTCCCAAAAAATAAGGCGTTTCATCATCAAAATTATAAGTTAATTAGGTGAATGATTTAGAACAAAGAGAAAGAACAAAACGAATAATCTACGGACTTTGCTTGGACGACATTTACCTTGACCTAATGGATGCTCTATAAAATATAACGTTGGTTGGCAGATATTCTGTGGGTTTACTAATCCTCGTAGGCCTATGTATATCTGTCGAAAGATTACAAATTTTTGATGGCAGTTCTACCAAAGTCCATCGAATCGTAAGTTTTGTATGGCAGCCTGCAGATACATTCCACGTTGTTTCTTCGACTTTTTGTTTCGCTTGCCTTACGATAACATAAGAGAAATTTTTCTCCATGAAAAAGTTTTTAACTGTTCTGTGTTGATAAAGCGGTTTTGATCAAAAAAGATCAGAAGAGGTCTTTTTTTTTTGACCATTTTGTTACTTTTTCGATTCAGCAAATTATTGAACGATCAGGTTAACTGTTTTGTTCTTTCTCTTTGCTGTAAATCATTCTCCAAATTAACTTATAAATTTGGTGATCAAGAGTCTCATTTGTGGTAATCATTTCACAAGGAATAATTTTTTGTGATCAAATTCAAATGTCTTAATTTTTGGGGTCAAAAATACTGATACCCTTTAATTAGATTGGAAGATGAGCCCATAGGTAATACGAGATTTTTATTAAAATAGACGATCATTAATAGGACATTGATATATTATACTTTCTCATAAGAAAAGTAGTGTAATAATGATCGATACAATGCACTATCACAATTTTGAAACAAAAGAAATTTTATTATTAAACTTTCTTGACTGTTTGTTTTATATAAAAAGGCATGGTAACCTTATGCAAAGAATACAATTTTCAAAGATCAACAAATAAATAAATAAATAGCAAAAAACGAATGCCATGCAAATCTACTATAAAAGTTTAGATGACAACAACTTCAGTAGTTAAAGGAGAAGCAAGATTAGTCATCATTATTCTAAAGATAATTAATGAAAACAGCTAGAAGTTTCTATATAGATTGTATTTCCTAGTAATGAGACCCTTTTTTTGGCTCTGATAATCACTATTTATGATCGCTTTGCAAATTTGATACAGGTATCAAATTTTATGATATTGATCTTGGATTTTGTACGCTTTATTAACATTAGATTGTGCAAAAGAAACAAAAAATATTTATAAACAAATACAATAACTATACAACAATAAAAAAGAAACTACATTGACAAAAAAAAAAAAATCGTTTTTATAGTTATTTTTCTTAAACGACAATAAATGAGCATAAATTATATAAAGTTGCCAAAGTAAAGTGTACAATAATATAAATTGCGGCGACAATTAACAGAATAATAATTAAAGTAGTGTATATTGTTTTAGAAACAAAAAATATGAATATGATATATGTACTTGCAACAAAATACAAGCTACGAGACGTGCCAACAAGTATTTGATATATTTTGTATGCATATTGTAAAAGCATAATTATATAATTATATATAAAGAGAATGTTGAATAATAATCAGATCGTTTTAAAGCAAATAACAAAGCATACAAATCAAAATGATAATTATTAGCAAGTGGTAGAAGAAGAAGTAGTGGTAGTGATGACACATTATCTAGACTTAATCGTAGTATGGTGACCCATCCTCTGAGAATCGTGATCTGCAATTGTAAGCAAAAAACATTTAGATACAACAACATACAATTTCAATTGCCGCTTAAGTATATGTGCGTGATGTCTAGAAAGAAGCTAGGCTATTTACTAGACCTGTGAAAAACAAAACTTAAGATAATCATATCGAGTAAGTGTGCAATATTCAGTGAAAATCTAGTGTCTTTCCCTTTTTTTCCCCTAAAAGTACAGTGGTGCTTTCAGAAGGCTTGGAATGTCGTTTGGCGTATATGTCATAATTTTATCACTGAAGCGTGCAGCGAACATAGATAATGAAATCAAGATGAGCAAGCATTTAACAGAGCATCAACGGACGGTTGATTGAGAGAACAGATAAGGAAATAATACAAATTTCTTTTTGCTAATTTTGTATTTTATCCATATAGCAGATGCATGCATCATGCATAATTAAAACTCCTGTTTTATATTGCTGATTATTTTATCTATTTTAACTAGACTGAACGTGGGTGATGCTGCTTTGAGTAGAGTTCCCTCACCTCCTCTATTATCATGAGGTGATCGTAATGATAATTGTCTTTGCAAATGATGTCTTATGGCAATATTATCTGTTTGACGTAAACTTCTATTACTTTTTGTATATTTATGAACATGGGGAGGTGATAATGATGTTGGTACAATATTGTCACTCATACCTGAAGATGATGCTGTGACATTTTTTGTTGTGGTAGATACAATATCCATTTCTGTTCGACTAGAGTTTCTTGAATTTTTTGGTGAAGCATGTTCAGATGAACCTTGCGAATTTAACGATGTTTGTTTATTTAATGTCTGTTGTCGTTGTTGTAAATAATTTGATAATGTCATTTTTCGTGTTTCAGCAGCCAATTTTAAAGTCTCATAAACCGGATCGACATAATCTGCACCTGAAAATACTTTGTAAGTACAGTTAATCGAAAGAAGTAATAGATTACCTAGATCATCTTGGTCTGACTTCTTCTTTCTTAATGAAAATTTTCGAGCAAATGACTAAAACATAAGATAAACGGATTTATTGTTACATTATAACTTAGTATGAGCATTACAATCTAAAGCATAAGAAAATATTTCTTACTAATAATACTATATAGATTTTTAGATACAAATTATTTCTCACATTATAATTATTGTTATTGACAGTGTTTATCTACTTATTAGTTAAACAGAAAAAACAGCTATTATAAGTAGCATGTTGTATGATTATACGCCAACAGACTAAGACTAATTAAACTGAACGAGAGAAGAAAAAGTATATAAGAGTAACTGAAAAATACATTAGGAAAGAGAAGATATGAGAACAAACATGCTGAGTGTTTTTTAATGAAATAATTATTTAAAACGTAGTTATGCACAGAATCGACGTTGACGTTAATTGTATTACAATATAGATCATTGATGGTAGAATTAGAGAAAACATGAAACATATAGTCTGTTAATTGTCTTCTAGTGTCAAATATATGACTATCTATCAAGTATGAGGGAAAAGAGCTGTTAGATACTTGTCTATATATCAACGTTATATTCTCTATATCTAACACGTTATATGTTGCTAATATATTTTAGTTTGATACTTTCGGTTAGTTTTATTCATAATATTCAAAAGGTCAACTGATACACTAAAATTACTTTAATTTTTTTGAAAAATAATCCTTTTCTTAAATTCATTATATACAAACTATAGGAAGTACTATAGATGAAAATGTGTTAAAGATACGAGAGAGTAATGACATTCAAATGTACTATACCTCTACGAGACTCATTATTTTACTTGGTCGTCGTTGTTGATTATAATTTTCTAATATTTGATCATTATCAAATGAAAAACTATTTTGTTTACTATAATTCGATATACTACTATTACTTGGACGACGATTTGCTTCAATTGAAAATAATGTAAAACGGCGACGAAACCATGCTGGTACATTTGTTCGTTGTGGCTGTTGTTTATCATCGTCCAATGATTTTTGCTGATTAATTGATGCGGATGATTGTTCCAATTCTGAGCGTCGACGATTGTAATCATACTTTGAATGTTTTGGTGCTAGACTGTGTGAACGTATTCGAGGAACGTGTAAACGTTCACGATTAGGATTAGTTGAAGGTGATGATGATGATAATGATTCAATATTCATTATTGATATGTTATTTAAAACAAGTATTTGATATAGTCACAGTTTAAAGATTTAAAGAGAATTATTATTGTCGGGTATTTTTCTCTCGGAAAATGGCGAAAAAAACAGGATTTATCAATTAATATGGGAAAAAGAAAAAAGAAAAACTGATGTATGTATGTGTGTGAGTAACATATATAAAAGGAGAGGAAAAAATGGCATAATTTTCTAACAGAAACTAAAAAATGACAAAAAACGATAATCTTTTATAGAAGAAAAACAGATTCAAGAATAATGTTATTTTGGGGACATTTTTTTTTTTTTGGTATAATCAAAATAAATAAAAAATTTGAAATAATAAACTGTAATTTTCAGGACAATCCAAAACATGATTTTAGTACAATTTTTTCTGGTTTATATTCGTTTAGGCTATTGTTATTCAACATATGTTAATCATTTGTTCAATCCTTGGCTCTTCTTTCTCTAACCTGTATGATCTTTTACCATTTTTGATTTTTCATGTTATGCATATTAATGACCGACCAATGTTGTTGTTCATGTAATAGATTTATAAGAGCAATAGTATATAAAGGGCATACATATATGATATCAAGGCACTATATTCTACTCCTGCATTAATAATATCACGTTTTCTAACATACTGAAGTATGAAAATAATTACCGGCAAATTAGACTTTCATGAGACAAAAGACCGTTTCATAACACCATGCATCATATTAGCCGTAATGAAGAATACTGTTCGATTTCCATGAACTTTTTAAACTATCTACGAACATATGATTCTCTCTTATAATGATTTATTTATATCACGATGTGAAAGGTTCACTTATTTTAAAAGTTGGTTCAAATCTATCCATAATTAAATGTTTTTCATCAAGTTGCTGAATTGCTTTATAATGGATGAGTATCAAAAATGAGAAAAATTACAGAAGCGAACATTTTTTTTGTTAGATCACGAATGCACAATAAATTTTGCCTGAGGGAATAATGAAAAAAGCGTGTCAAAGTTGAAAAATATTGAGTTTACTGGGTTTTTCTTTTTATTAAACCGGTTAAAAATAATAATATAATTTTTCAATCAGAAGATTTATCTAAAAACTATTAGTTCAGTAGAAAAGACAAATTGCATATTTTAGAAGCATAAAAGTATACACTCAAATAGTTTTTTCTACTCAAATTTTCATGAAAAACTCGAAGATGGAATATTGGATTTTTGATATATATCTTACACAAGAGTAAACTGATAAAGAGGAATAGCCGCTAGCAAGAGAGTTTTTACATGATCAGGCTGATCAAAAATGGTTAAGAAAACTACACACTCACTACCCACGTTCGACTGCAGTCGAATAGTCGTCGAACAGATTTAGATAAGTTCGATCTGTTAACTTTCGAAAAGAGTTTTCCTTATGCGTATGTCCTATAAGCATCAATTTCAATAGCACGATACCTTCCCTGCAGTTAACAAGCTTTTGGCACGATCTCGTTACTGTAGAGTTCTTTCGCCCAACTACTTGAACTCCTTCTTATACACACTCACTAACCACGTACTAGCTTTCCACAAAGAACGCTACGAAGAACTAATCGGAGGAGCTGTGTTGTAGATCACAACCTAGTGAGTATGCTGTAATATAATTAACCTGCCAAGAGTAGTTACATGACTTAACAGTGCTGAGGTTCGAACATTGTACCTTTGAAGTACACAATGAATAACATCACCACCAAGCTGTAATGTCAACACTGTACATATGCAACTGTGGCTGCAAGATGATGTATTCTTTCTTCTTTCTAAAATTAACTCTTCTCTCTTTTTACTTCTAAACAACAACAATACCTTTGTCCATTTTATTATACATCTCTATAACGTGTGTTTTTCTGCTTCAATTACTCAGATATTTTCTTCGCCATATTCAGCAAGAGTCCTCTTTACAAATAGATATGTTCGATACTGGAAAAAAATATCTCGCTGTTTTCTCCCACAATATTGACCGTTCCTGAACAAACAAATTTTAAACGTATATAGATCTTTATGGCTAATAAAAAACATCGAATATGGAAGGTACATAGTTTTAGACTTTATGTAAAGCATCTTTGTACTCTACAAACGTGTGTTCACAGAGAATCCTTTATGTGACACTATACTAACGTTCGGCATTACTGATATTGATCTGTTCTGTGAATGTCCAAATTTTAATTTGTATGTACATGCCATGTCGTTCAACTTCTCTTTCTCTGCTATTTTTTCTCCTTCTATTTGTCTATTTATTTATTTTTTAATAAATTTTTTCTACTCTCATGTTTATTTAATAATGTAAAGATTATTGCTACAATTACGGTTGCCATTATTAGTTTACAAGGTTTTTATGATTAGATATCTCATTCTACTACATGCAAAAGAGATCCTTTGAATCAAAGTTATTTTGCAGTTAAACTAATAGAGAGTTTTTGAGTGTGAAGATTTTCACTACGTAAAGAAAAAGTCGATGACACCGTAGATAATCTGCTATAAGATCATAATATTATTTAAAAAAAAAAGTGGACAACTATATTATTTCTTTTAGACGAAAGAGAGAATTTGGAATCGTTTGAAAAATTAACTAAATTTGCTGTTATTCCCATGTTAATAATCGGATGTTGATAGATTAAAGAATGAAAAATCATCGTCGTTAATCAAATATAGAAAATATTTATTCACATTTCGTTCACGTACTCTGTCTGTTCTAAAAGTTTCCGAACAATATGATCGATACTATTTTAACGAAGAAAAATAAAAACTATACTCTCTAGTTTGTTCTCTAATTATATGATTATTATTGTATTATAACGTTGTCAAAATCAAATTAATCGTTTTTACAAAACTAAGTTAATTATCAACCGAAATGTTTGATCTCAAGTATTTAGCCGATAGTAAAAGAATAAAAATATGAGTATGATCTTTAGAATATCATTGATTTTGATCACAGAAAAAAAAAAATGATCCAAAATACTTGAAAACACTATAATATTGGCGGTAAAAGTATAGAAATGAGTGAACATACCAGTTTTGTTTCTTCTTTCTCTGATCCGTCTTTGTGAGCGCTTTTTATTGTTTTAAATGCATGTGTCCATAATCCTTTGATGGATTTACTATTTCGTCGTTGAGATTCTTGATCTACCGATGATTGGGTATCACTACTCATCGAACTTTTACGAGATTTGAATAATTCTTGCTAGAAAAAATAAAAAATAAAATAAAAAAATGTCATATAAGAAAGATAGAACGTATAAACAACAAAGATTAAATGAAGATCATCGTATAAATAAAACTCATTTCTAAAGTTAAAAGATCAAATTTATCTAAACCTACTCGACGACTATTCGATGTCAAACGTCGACTACATTTCATACAATCTGCTGTCATTTATGATAATATGTCAAAAACGTCTATTCGCGCAATAAAATTAATATCGAAAACAGTATGTTTCATGTTATTCAAAATGAAACAACATTTTTTTTTCCTGAAACATTATGTTGTTGTTATTATTTAGTGAACCGTTATTAATCGATTTTAAATTGTTGCCTTTCTATATTTTTCTCTCTTCTCTCTTAAACAGCGCATACAGAAAATCGATTGCGTGCAGCAACAGTTCTTGGCGACACGCAAATGTTTGATATAATATCCTCCTACAGAATAAAGAATATAATCAACTTTCCAAAAAAAGAACAAAATGAAAGGTAAGCACCGCACCATTGCACATAAAATAAAGAAATAGAGAGCACCGTGATCTTTTTTTAATTTCAAAAATTGCCATAGTACTGAATCTATTTAGACTAATTATTAAAAATATGCATATACTGACAAAATAGTCGTAATATAGTGTACTTAAAATGATTTATCACTCACTAGTATCACTATGACTAACTTAACTATTAAGTAAAAAGTAAATTAATTTTACAATCTAAAATAGTTGTCAGCTATTTCATACTGATTACAAAATAAATTTATACTAGTTTAAGAGTATCCCCCTCCCTCTTTGTTGACCCTCTTGGAAACCGGGGACGCCGATGTCGGATCGGGGTGCAATTTATAACAGGGATAGAACATCGAAAAAGAAAATCGATATATTTTTGCACAGAATTTTGTGACATGTTCTTCTATGAGTTTTCTGGAAAACTCTGGTTTTCATCCAGTCACATTACGACCCCTCGAAAAAATGGTCCGATCGAGCTCAAAATTTTACCACAGATACTTCAAACCCTATCTCAGGTTCGTTTTTTTTTCTTTTCAAAAAATATGCTTTCCTTCTCGAGATATCCCAAAAATGCTGAAAGTCACGCAAAAAAACTCAGGTTTTTACAGGTTTTTTTGCGTGACTTTTTACTGGCATTCGGCCCTCATTCAACTACCATGTCCTATACTGATAGGCAATCTTCAGCAAAATTTTCCAAAAAGATACCTTGCGTTAAAGACGTCCACGCAGATGAAAGGATTCAAGATTCAAGATATTTCTCAATCAACATGTAATGAGTCAACTCGATCTGTTGGAATATAAAAAAGTTTAAATTAAAATATTTCTAGAAAAAACTTTATTTCATACAAATATTATATTAACTTCATTTGTATCATTGTATAAATAAAATGAAATGATTTGAATAAATTTTACTTTTTTTTTCTTTTTAAAGAAATCTACAATAGTAAAACCTTATATTTATTGTTTTATAGACTATAAATAGCTGAGATTTTGTCACTACCTTGAGCGTAAACAGTGTACTTACTTTACTTCCTATTCTACATATAAAAATAGACGTCACTATTTAATATACGTTCCAATGATGAAACGATCTGATATGTAATTTATCTGTAGAAAAATAAACAAATACAACTATTTTAGAGAACAAAACATATAGATAAATATCTATCAACATCTCGTTCAGTAATAGTCTATGTCACAATGCACGTGATGTTCATTAATAGACGATATTACAATTTTTTTAAAATTCTATCAATATCTCCTAAATAGTACTAATTCTTTAATATTGTATTCTTGTCTACATGTAGAAACGGTAGAATAATGAGTTATACAATAACAATAATGAGGTTTTTTTTATTAGAAAGCTCTTGTTTTTCTCTCTTGTTAGGACAGAGTTTAGTCATTAGAGGCATAAAACAAAACATAAAACAAGAAATAATCTAAATTTTTCATGTATAGAAGAGATGAAGACGGAAATGATGACAATCTTTTTTAAAATTAATTCTACATCTTTACAAAAGGTAGGAAAAAGAAAGAAAATGATCTAGTTTAAAAATATTATATATAAAATGAAAATCGATGATTACTTTTTCTAAATTATGTACGCCTCTATAAGATATGAATCAAATCTACGCAGTTTTCATGGTACCTTTACAAACTATTGTCAGTGTCAAATTTTTTATCACAGTCAATTTAGCAGTTATCAACAAAAATATAGTTTATTCGATATAACACATACTTTTCTATATTAGAAAACACAAAAACAAAATAAAAGAATATCATCTAATACACTCACTATTGAAAAGATTTTCATCATCATTTCTTCCTTTTGCTTGATTTCAAGGTTAAATGGAAATGAACGATATCAATTTATTGTTCTAACTCAAAATAGGTAGTATATATACATAATACATATCTTATTATCGACCAATTCACAGTATAACATTTATCTTAACCATGTTTATCCTCATAATATAATATTTTTTAGGTTTTCTTGTTTACAGCTGATAATTTCCATTCTTCTCTATAATAACAACATTTTTTCCTAGATTATATTTACAGATTAATCTCTTATCCTATCATCTCATTAACAAAGTGACACTTTTAAATGTACAAAACGATATCTCCAGTAGAAAGATATTTTACATTCGATAATGATTAATTGAAAATTAACTAATTATCGAACATGACGCACTAGTAAATAATGATAGACCGTACAACGCAAGTGTCATTTTTTTTGTCTATCATGACCCACACACACACACACATATATATATATATGTATAGAACTAATAGACAATTTTATTAAACACAAAGGCATAACTGTATATGTCAAATGTCCAAAAGGATATATTGTTTAAAGTACATTCTTTCTCATTTCTAGTTTTCAAAAAATTTTAAGAAATATAAACAAAATGTCAAACTAATCTCGTTTATACCCGTTTGCACATTAAAAATTATGTTGACATATTTTCACTACAATTTTTTCCTATTAAATTCAGAAAGTTTTTCAAACATATAAGAACGAAAAGAGAAATAAAATAAATAATCATTAGACAATCACGTGTTAACTCCATACTGAACCAAATTTGATAAAATTTTGGTGCCAGGTGCAAAATTTCTCTGAGAATAGTCAACAGTGCGTTCTCTTTAGTTTGTATTTCTCATTGATTGAGAAAAAAAAGGTGTCAATTTAGACAAAAATCACGAAGATTGCGTCGATGCCAGATTAGAAGTCAAAATGAAATTAAACGGAACACCCTGTCGACTATTCTCGGAAAAATTTTATACCTGGCACCGACATTTTATTAAACCTGGTTCAATGAGGAGTGAACATCAAATTTTCTAACGGTTAAGAAAAGCACATTTATCTTGATTGTACATAAATCTAAGTCAAACGTCTGTAGATTATAAGACTTCATCGAGCGTAAAAATATATTAATCAATACTTACTAAAAGCTGAAAGTTAGATACACTGAAGATCTATTTTTACAATTATCGAAAAAAGCTCGAGTTGACCTCTATAAACAACATATTTTATTTTACAAGAAAAAAATGCATTGTCTGATGCACACATACAGCTGAAAGGTTGTAGTGTCTGACAAAGTAATCATAATTCATTATTAGTGTGTGTATATTCTTAATGTTATCATCATCAATTGTGAGAGGAAAAACTTCGATAATAACTAAATGAACCCATGTAGGAAGTGTTAGTTATCTCTAATTTATATTCTTGACAATATAATAAATAAATAAATAAATAAATAAATAAATAAATATATATATATGTTAACAATTCACTTAAAATTATTATTAGGATCAAAAGAAATAAAGTTCCAGATAAAACAAAAATGCTGAAAATTATGAGTAGATTAATCAACGATTATGGGCTTGCTCTGACTTTTGTTGTTTTGATGATTGAACTGGATTATACTATCATGCATACATTAAAAGCCATAACTTTCTTTAGTTCATTAAGTTGACTGAGTAAAATGATAAAGAGATTTATTCTGTTTAAATTCGATAACTCTATCGTTTCTCCTATGAGATAATTAATTATCACATGATTCATTTCATAATGAATATAGGCTACAGTGTTGGATATGATGAAAACTATACTATAGTAGAATAGAATATATGACACACAATAATGAATCAACTGATATGGGAATATGGGAATTCTTCCACAAAAATAGTCAAACTATTGTGAGTTTATGGATGTTCTAATTTTATCTGTTTACCGTTTCATTCAGTCAACTTTTCAGTCTTCCCATAGGGCCTCTAGTTTTGTTTTATTCTGTTATTACATGCAGTAATGATAAGTGTCAGAGAAAAAAAGACAGTCTACATGCTTTATAGTTAACAATTTTGACTTTCAACTTTTTTCATGGAAAAACTTTTAAAAGGAGTAAATTAAGTATTCCAGAATTTATATTAATTTAAGCTTTAAAGTGTACACAAAACAAAAAGTTATTTATCTGAAAATTTTACTGACCGCTCCAGACGCTATAATGAAAAAATAAATACGAATGATATTCCAATAATAACATACAGAATTTAAAAACTAATGAATACGAGTTTTTTTACAAAGAAAATAAATAAATGGCTAGATCTCGTTAGGAGACATTATCGTCTCTTTCGTTTCAAATGACAGCTGGAATATTGTACAAAGAATAAACATTTGTCTTTTTCCCCATTCTCCTTCTTTGTCTCTCTTTAGTCTATTTACTCCCTGATTATTAATAATCTCAATATCCGGAAAATTGTCAACGGATTATAAATGATTTCTTTGTCTTTCTATATACATTGATTAGAAGCAATGCTTGATTTCATTTATATAGCTGCTGAAATAATTACGCGTAAGAATGGTAAAAGCAAATCACAAGACAGACAAATAAAAAAAAAAATTTTCTTAAAAGAATATAAGAAAACAGTCTTTTTGTGAGACTTCTTTCTCGCTTCTAGATATCCTCATCCAAAAAAAGAACAAATGACGAAATAGCCAAGAAAAGCAGCCAACAATCACAAGATTGACCTACAAATCTAATCGTTCAAGGTTGACTTAACCGAACAAACTTATTCAGCTGAATAAATATATTTTTTCTATTAACAGTCCCTACAAACCTCTTTCATGAAAGATATATTTAAGGAATTGATTACAACTGATATTACATTAGCGCATTAAACTAATATCTAACATAAAAAAAAAACTTCCTGCTATATGGTAAACTTATCAATAATTGTTAAAGTAATAAATGATTAAATTAAAATGCTAATAGTAGTACGAAAAAGATGATAAAGTGTTGCACTTTGTTATGGAGAAAGGAAAACATGAAATATGTAATCATTACTTTTATTATTATTATATTTTCTGTGTTAAACATTCAAAATCTAATACTCAAATGAAAAAAAAATTGTTTTTTGCTTTTCTTTTAATATTTTCTAGAGACTATTAGTTTTAATATATGTTAAATATATTTTGACATAAAACAACAACGACAAACACGCAACTAAAGGTATAAATGTCTATTAGAGAAAAATAAAATTTGTACTTAAAACCCATATGAAAACTATCAGGAAGTTTCATATGAACTGCTATCAGAAGTTTATCTTTAAACCAGTTAGTTGCCTTTTTTTCTTATCATATGAAAATTTGGCATGAAATTATGTATCCTAGGAGAGAAACAATAGCACAAGACAAATGACGTATCCATTATGTACAGTGAGAAAACGAATTGCTTAGTGTAACGGATGAAAGATTTTACCAAATGAATAAACAGAATGACTTTTCAAGGTTTTTTGAAGAAGGAAGAGGTAGAATCAAAATCTAGCCCTATCTAATTCAAATTCTATTTCATAGATGTTCGTAGAATGTTTGTTATTATACTGTACTGGAGAAGAACAGATAGAAAGCAAAATAGAAATCACATTCACCTGAATGATGAAATACAACCCTTGATCTTACATACATGAGCATTACATGCGTAAAAAATTTAATTCATCATACTTTTGCACAAACCAAGAGCCTAGTTTCTCTGTTCATTAGTGCATACCGAATGGTATAAAATATAACTCATCAATTAAAAGTTCATTCTATTTCGAAAAAAGAAAGTACAGAATGGTTGGTCATAATTTTAATTTAAAAAGAGCACAGTTTGCTGATTATAATTCCTCCGTGCTCGTTTCCTACTACTTATATCTCTTGCACAAACCAAGAGCCTAGTTTCTGTGTTCATTAGTGAATAAATTCAAAGTGCGGTAACATGACGTCATAGACAGAGTATAAAAGTTGCACGCATTCTAAAGTGTTCAAAAGACTGTTGTAACGCGTTTTTCTTCGTTTCAAATTTAACGCGTTTTAGGGTCAATTTTTTTGCCTAGGATCTATGAAACTGAATTTGAATTCGATACGACTAAACATTTGAATTATTCGTCCTGCTCTTTTTCCATTACCTGTGCTATCAAAACAGCTTCTTCTAAGTCTAATAGTCGTAATTTGTGCCTTCTATACATGATGTCATCGTCATATTGCTTATTTCGGTTTCTAAAATAAAAAAATTTATAACAATACATTTGAGAGGAAGAGTCAAACAACTAACAAATTTATCTTGGACTATATCACTTAATAGTATCGAGCTTTGATAAAATCTAGTTTTGCAATGGTATAGTCCTGCATGTGACTCTCTGAAATAGGCATATCAGCGGATTGAAAAATTTTAAAAGCTTGTTCGATCAGAATCGATCGCATATTCGTCTTTTCCATAGTCGATTACCTTTTACGCAATAACTTTTAGATCAGGGCACTTTAAAAGCAATTTTCTGGTCATCTTGCCCAAAAATTTTGCAAAAAGTTACTGTGTGGGATCAAAGGCAAAACGATGTTGACAATTTTTTCTAAAGTACCCCGACCCAACAGTTATCGCATAAAGATAATCGACTATGGAGAAGACGAATATGGAATTGATTTTGATCGAACACACTTTTAAAATTTATCGATCCGGCGATGTGAATAACAAAATATAGTATTCAAAATCGAACATTTTAAAGTATGAATGTGGAATGAAACTGTTCTACCAATTAACTACTATAGTTTTTGGTATGAAGTGAACCGCGAAAGCACTTACTGTTGTTCATCATTTTTAGTTGTAGTTTTTATCAGGAGCAGATTTTTGTCTTTCTTGATTTCTTTTAATCTGTCATGTATCTCTTTGCTCCGACTATTGACATTTGGTATCGAAATTAATCTCTCATCATCAGTATCTCCTGAATCTGTTGCCGGAATAAATGTATCAAAATCGATTTTTGTCATCGCTACACTACCGCCATCTTCATTCATTGAACAAATATAGTTTTCTAATTCTTCATTTACATTCAAATTTGAACTTGTTAACACAAACGATTTGAGGCTATGTTGACGTTGCTCATGCTGGAAAAATGATCAAAATGAATAAGTAATAAGTGATGCAACTCAGCTGACTAGGTTAGCCGAGTTCTAAGAGTAAGTTTTGTTAGGAATATCCCATGTCCAGTGAAATTAGTACTAATGGAAAAGTTTGATGGTATTACAACTTTTCTGTGAACGATGTGTTTTGAAAAGTTTTATGTGCAACTGTAGCACCATTTAGAAAAATAAATTAAAAATGCATTTATACTTGTTCTTGTGCTATTTGTGCTAAGCATTGTAATGATGAACATATGCCTTCAATTATTTCGATTTCTGATTCTTCCATGCCCTAAAAAAGCAGCTATGTATATATTTCAGTTAATTTTCCTGATTTCTGTAAAATTACTTGTAGTAGTGACGGCAGTATACTGTAATGATATTTTGATAACATTCCATTAACGCCCGTCAGTTCGATGATATAATCGTTGTGTGCTGCGTAAAAAATCGGAGTCGGACCACTTGTTTCGAATGTTTTCATATATTCCTGCTTTGTCTACAACAGGTATAGTCGTTTAAATCTACATTTTTTAACAATCCATAATTAACTTACATATTCGACAATTTCATGCCCTTTTTTCAGGACATCTTCAAAATCTTGACGGTGTTGAATGTTTGTTGATAATTGAAGATTTTTGTTGTGAATAAGAATACTGAGTGGCATACTAATATGTTTATCCATTGAAAAGGCTAAATTTTGTAATGACTAAAATTGGAAAACAGTGCAATATGAAACAGTACATATGATCACGTCCCATTCAGCAAAGTAAATCGAGAAAGGGGGGCAGTCCTAGTGTGCATCCAGGTGGACATTATTTGGCCAAAAACTGAAAGTGTATTTTCTCCGAATTCAAAGAGGGGAAATACACTTTGACATGTGCTCTATTTAATGGCATAAAAATGTCTGTTTCAGGTGCTAAGGATCGTGAGAAAATGCATAGGCAAAAAATAACCTGAAAGCACAAGCGCATGAGATAAAAATTATTATTTTTTGTTTCTAACAAAACCTGTAAATCAAAACGATAAAGATTCTGAATTTATGCTTTTTGGGCAGTCTCAGTAGTGAAGAAACTTCTCAGTTTAGACCTATACCCTCAGAGAAATAGAATTAGTTTTCAAATTTCCCCAACTTTTAAATTGGCTCAAAATTTATACACATGTTCGCCTGTCTATCCTGGACGAATGCATACATTAGCATAAACGTAACTAAACTACACTACACGTTTTTCAAACACTCTTATTTTTCCAGATAAGGTTCGTCTTTCTTAGCGGGGGGGGGGGGGGGGCCCTTTTATGAGAATGAAAGTGGATTTTGGGTTGCGGCGCGGGAAAGGGGGTGAACCATGGTATACCCGTTTTGTTTTTGGGGGGAAATATACCNCCCCCCCCCCCCCCCCCCCCCCCCCCCCCCCCCCCCCCCCCCCCCCCCCCCCCCCCCCCCCGCACTTTTAAGAGAAATCAAGATGATATTTGGAATCAGCGCGTGAAACTGCGTTCAACAATGTATAACACGATAAGTTTAGGGTCGAATAAATACCCATCGAATTTTTTGCCTATAAGTCTCGAAGACCGATCTTTGAAAAAACTGATTTTTCCTGAAAACGTTTTTTTCTCGTCAAACGCATCGCATATGAGTAGATAATAGTAAATATTCAACAGAAAAAGGTTGAGGACCAAAAAATTCTGATGTCTACCTGCTACTAGAGAAATGCACACTGTACCACTCTCCTCTGGTTTTCTGACTTTTCGTCAGAATTTTCTCCGGCACTTTCGGTCACCGAAAAATATTTTGTCCATTTGTATTTTTACCCAACCTGTTCTTTTGCATCAATAGATATTTGCTCGAGCGTCAAAAGCCTTACGGCTCCATCAGTGGCTTAAACAGGATGCGTTGTATAAGTTAAAAAGCCTTTTTTATTGTTTTGCTTCCAGTTTTCGGAGGATTTTTTTACCATTTTCCACCAAAATTTGAGTTCCTCTGGTAAAAAACCAATAGAGATTTCTTAAGTACTACCTGAGATTCTAGCTCTGTTTCAATTAATAATGATTCCCATAGATCATACATCATTCCACCAAGGCGGCATCTAAAAACAAGCAAAATATAATGTGAGATTAGTTCATGTTTCACGAGATTTTGTTAAAAACCAATATGAAAATTTTTCAAACATGCTCTTTCTTGATACCAAGAATGTAAGACTTTGACATATTTTTTGTTCATTTCGACAAGACTGTGGCGTACTAAGATTTCGAAATAAAAATGGCAGAAAGTGAGAATGTACGAATGTCGATTCATTACATGTGAGTGCCGGATCACTGTGTTGTTTGTCTTTCAGGATGTATGCTAACATAATACTCACAAAGAACAAAAGGATCAATCTAACTTACTTTTATATTAAAACCATTTCATTCATTTATCAAGGCACCAGTGAGAAAGAAAGTGGGTCAATCTAAGATGCAAATTTTTCTTCAGGAAAGAGCACACCTGTTGCACAATGAGCAATTTTGGCTAGGCATTTGGATATTTGTTTTAGAAACAGTGCAAAAGTCTATGAATACTCTTTTTATAGGTTTTCAGATGTGCTCTTTTTCAATGGTGCGTTTTACAAAGTTCAAAAACGCTTTTTATCTGGATTTCTAGAGATCAGGATCTCTGAAAACTCATATATAAATATTTTTAAAGTTTATAAAATGCATCACTAAAAGCAATACATCTGAAAACCTACAAAAAGAGTGTTCACAGGCTTTTTTCAAACTTGACTGGATCATGCTCTCGAAGAAAAAATCCGGAAAAAGCATAATAAAATCAACATTTCATGAATGGAACTTAGAGTCTGATCTAGAAAATATATCTTCGTGCAGAAAATGTCAAAATCTTGACATTTATTCAACGCAGGAAATTTCATTATGGCAAACTGTAAGATTGTCATTTGCGAGATGTACAATGTTGTTCTATGTAAAAAGTCTTAGTGAGATGTTATGTAGTACAAGTGCAGCGATTTTCAAGGAGATAAGATGGAGTGTTTGATAGACCGCAATTTTTCAAATGATCCCATCTCATGCGAGAATGGTACGATTCGACTCAATGATGCAGGAGGACGCCTATAAGACTTTTGAAAGAATATCATTTATAAGCTCTATTTATAAGCTTTTCTTTTCAAAAAAGCAGTCTGTTATTATTTGAGAGTGATAACATTTTTGTCTAATATGAAGAACATTGTTGATTAAAAACAAAAATTAGGCCACTTCAGCTCAATACTTAGTTCTGGCTACAAAAAAGAAATTAACTATTATCTGAACATACTTTCCTCGAATTTCCACTTCAGTTCTTTGTCGAAATTCATTGACCAGGCTTTTTAATTTTGACGATGCTAATGTGCAAATATCCGACCATTGATGAGTAAATTCTGTAACTAAAAATAAACAGAAAAATGGATAATAAAAATTGATATCATTAAAAAATAATAACTGAGCATACTTAGTCTCGCTAATTTAATTGTTATTTCGGCGTAGTTCACCAATTTATGCCAAACATGTGGTTGAGAGAAATCACAGAAGCTCAATCGACGCCTATTATTGCTATTCATATCACTTTCTTACTCTTGGGATTATTACTAGTTAATTTGCGCAGTTATCTATAAATATAGTGAAAGACAGTTCAACCTCAAATAGATAAGATAATAAACAGAAGTTACGTTGTCTATCATAAAGATGGCAATAGTTATCGAACCATCGTTAATGAAATAATTAGAGAATTAGATTATTAGGAAAGATTGAGTCCATATAATAACTGCAGAATAGAAAAAACATTTGTCAAATGTGTTCGTTTGACAAGAAAACATTTGGTTTGACTTTTCAATCTAGTAGATTAACTATAGATACGTCTGTCATCAAGCTCGAATTAGATTTTTTATTATAAGAGTTGATATAAAAGAATATTTGGTTACTTGGAAAATGAAGAAAGATAATCTCTTCCCCCTAGTGCGTAAGATGAAGTTTTTTTAACATTCCCTCCCGTGAGTGGGTCTTATCCTGTCCCATCCCGTGCGGTCACGCATACCACTAGTTGTTACTTTTTCGAAGAGAAAGCTCATCGAAAACGAAAGTTTGTTACAGTTCATTCATTTATTCGTTAATAATCTCTAGAGAAATAAAAAACATAGTTTAAAAATGGAACTAATCATGCAATGAAGAAAGAGAATCGCTCAGCTCCGAATGCTCAACATTTAAGTTTCCTCAATTACAGTCACATAATTAAGAGATTGAACTCTTGTATCTAATCCACTTCAACACAATCTTGATGAAAGAGATCAGTAAAGTTAGTTATTGTCCGATCGTATTTTCTCTTTTTTCTTTTTAATCAATGCGAATGAATTTATGTGCAAATTTTTTTATACGGAAAATAAAAATGGTTTTAACAAACATATTTAGTTATATATGGGTTTTGTTCTAATAATAATTCATTTTCTGACTTACTTAAGTATGTTCTAATTGTTTCTAAATCTAAATAAAATTTTTTTTCTTTAGCTTTTATTGTTGAGATTTGTCGTGTTTTCTTCTTTCATTCGGAAGGGTATTCTTTAGAAAAATTTTTGAGAACAACAAGCAAAACTCATAATCTATCATTTTTTTTCTTTTTCTTTATACGCTCTAAAGCCGCAAATATAGACATACAAAGTGTCAATCATATTTTGCTCTTGGTTCTGTAGTGTTCACGCTACACATTTTTTCCATCAAGGAAGATAAAAAAACATAGTTCAAAAAACTTTAGACGTTATTTGATTTAGATATCATTCTACATGATAGAGGATAAAGTGATTACCTTCATCGAAGATACTCCGAACTTTTTTGACCTATAACTTGAAGACTATAACTGATGTTATAGGTGAGGTGTCAATCTTATCTAGAAGTTAAGCGAACACTTTTATAGTAACAGCATGGTGATTTTGTTTTAAATTCATAACTAAAATCAAAGTTCTTAATCAAATTTTATTATGATAAGTCCATAAATCGTACACAGATTATCCCAACTTATTCAAATATCAAAGATTTGTCTTTAGTTTGGCAAATATGATGGATATTCTTTATCATGGAGATTTTACTCAATGAACTAAAAATTAAAACGATTAATTAAAGTAAAATTATTTTCCACCATAATGTCTCTAAAAGCTTAAAGAATTTTGGTTATAAATCACAATCAAAATTTTAGTTTTATAAAACCGTCTCTTTTTTTCACAAGATAAATTGCTACTCATTTTGGATACAATTTCACTTATTTATTCCCTATGACACAATGAGAAATATAATACATACCTTACAAACATCTTTATTTTCAATAATTAACCCTTTTGTTCACTATATGACAAGTTGAATGAATATGAATATGATAAATGGAATTTTGCTCATACAGGAGAAATATAGAAAAGAAGAAAATTTTTTTTGAACTCATACAAACACACTGTAAAATCTCTCTCTCTCTCTTATCCTTTATTTTTTGTGTTAGTGGATCTTTGATATATGAGAACATAAAACCAATGTAAAAAAAAAAAAGAGAAGAATGATGATAATTTAAATGATGCTATCCAAAAGCCAGAATCTTTTGAAGCAAATAATAAATAAGTACGACAAGAATCAGACAAATATGATCGGCAGAAACAACGATATACGCATATAAATAGAAGAAAATAATGAATCTATTCATCCCTATTCATTTACATTCTGTGCAATTATTTTTAACAAAACAAAATATGTTTAAAAAGAAAACTATTTGTTTGTCATGGTGTTAAATTCAATCCTCCAAGTGTTGAGAAATTATTATCGTCAAAATTGCATCAGTATTTTGAGTATAATATACAATAGCTAATGCAAGAACTAAAATTTTTATATTAATTTTCAAGTAAAACCGGACATTTGACATTATTTGGCATCTATTTATCATTCAACTTTTGAAGCTTATAACGTTTCTCCTTCTGTATAGAAATCTTTAATATTTTAGCTTGCTAAAAAGAAAAAAAAATCGAGATTTTTATGTTTTGATTCAAGAAAGTTTGATTGATAGATGATGATTCGGTAGGAAACGTCTTTCTAATATCTCATGGGTTTCCAGGTATTTTATATTCTAATAAAAATAGTTTTATATAGATAATTTTTCATACTGATTTTGTGATTATGACATTTGTTTATATATTTTTGAATCTATTTTACTCTAAAAAGAGATATTTTTACCTCAGTATTCTCATCATTAATATATATTTTACTGCTCAATTCACAAAATAATTGTATCATATATAAAAATAATTTAACTACAAACACACTATAACATTTATACATTCTAAACGTTCAATAATCATTAACACCTTTTAAGTATAATTTTAAAAGAAGAACAAATAATGTCGTATTATTGTACTTGTACTAAAAGGAAATTAACACTTATGAATTTTTGAAAATATTTTGAATGTCTTTGATTTGTTTTTGTATGATTTTATATTTTTGTTTCCGATAGACGATGGTTAACTCACTAGAAAAAAAAAAAAAAGAACCTTAAGGATATCCTTTTCTGTTTGTCGGAATAATTATACATCATAAAGATTTGACAATCTACCATTTTCTTGTATGACAATAACTATAGCTACTTGACATTATGTTCAATAGATAGTTGTTAATAATTGATGAATAAATGTTATAGTATGTTTGTAGTTAGATTACTTTTACATATGATACAATTATTTTGTGAATTGAGCAGTAAAATATATATTAATGATGAGAATACTGAGATAAAAATATCTCTTTTTAGAGTAAAACAGATTCAAAAATATATGAACAAATGTCATAATCACAAAATCAGTATGAAAAATTATCTATATAAAACTATTTTTGTCAGAATATGGAACACCTGAGAACCCATGAGATCTTAGAAATTTTCCCCGTAGAATTTTAATCGAAAAAATGTAAAAATTCATGAAACATCATCTATGAGAAAAGAATATAAAAAAAGAAAATGTTCATTCAAACGTCTAGAAACATTTTTTTTATACTATGAAATTGGCCAAACGATTTTTAATTTAAAAGTTTTATTATGATCAATTTATTCACATCTCACTTTGAGATTACTATTTCAATTAGAGCTGAATCCATGTTTTAATACACTATAAAAGAAAACACAATATTATTTACATGAGTCTAACCTTCAGACATAAATCAACCCGTTGGGTAAAATATTTTTTTACTATCCGAACTAATACTTACAGTACTCTTCTAAAAGTAAAGATATATCTGACTTTTATTTTCTTTCAAGGAAATCTAATCCAAACTATAGCGTATAAAATTGTATGTTAAGATGAAATTACATTAATTGAATCTCTTCGTAGATCAACACTAGATAAGTTATTTAAGAAAAAAACATATACACATCAAAGACTTTTAAGTCAGATTTTTTTCTTAATGAAAACTGATTTAGTGTGAAGTATTATGGAAATTTGTATACGCTTGATTCGACGTTCTAATCAAAAAATGTTCTTTTCAAAATAAAAAACAAAATAAAAAAACGGTGATGTTAGATATAATATAAATATGATAGTTGGTTTACCAATAATAATTTTAACTAGAATGAAGTTAGATAGTGTGTGAACAAAAAAAAAAAATTTAGATTTAGAGAATTTATTAGAAAAATATTCTTATATAAATATTTGATATATTTTACAAGGCTATATTAATCAACAAGTTATTTTCTGTATTAAAGAAATTCTGTACGATATCATGTATTGATGCTTCTAAAACATCTAATTATTGAATAAAAAACAAATTATTGCTAGTTATTTTTCTAAAAACTTCTTTTTTTTATAAATACAATTAAATTTACAGTTCACTGTACTACTTACGTACATTCATAGGTATGTCACTTTAACCTTAACATTGTTCTTTTCCATCTAGGTGTAGGGGTAAAGTGTAGGTAAAGTGTTATTCCTATTGTATTTCATACATATATCATGAACTGATGATATGAATCTGATTATTATTTGTTTGCATAGCAGTACATCATTTTTTTCAGAGTGAATTAGAGATTTTCAACATTTTTTATAGAAAAATATAAAACAGAATTAAATCATTTTTCGTAATAATCTATGTTTCACCTGATCTTTGTTAGTAATAGCAAAGTAGGAGTAACGAAACTATACTTAAAGTCAAAACATAATTTCTGACATCTCCAGGTTTTTTCTACCAAAAAATAAATAAAAACATATTTGAGAAATTACATATGTCTTTTTTATTGGAGAAGCCTACACAATGTGAACTTTGATCACAAATACTATGCACATATTATATATATTTAGCGTCCAATAATACTTTTAAACATAGAAAGGAAAAGAGAAAAAAAAGCCACGTACAACAAGCCATACTCTTGCGAGCACCACACCCCCTTGTTGATCATCCGTTGTTCGCATGGTAAAAGAAGAATAAAGTACTTTTCTACACTGATATTTAAATAGTCTGTTCATGTACATATTATTTCATTCATTCTTCTGAATTGACTGAAGGCTGCTACTCACACTCATATATTATTTTACTTAAAAACAACTACCAATTATCATCATGTCATCAATTCCATACTGTATGAATATTTGTCGATGTGCTGATGAAAAAATTCGACGTAGTGATTCAAATTCTTCAACGCAATCAAATTCACCGGTGTCTGGTATCAGTTTTTTTGGACATATATTATCATTTGGTACTACCATCAATAAAAACAATAACGACAATAACAATAGTTATAATAACTCATCGGATATTAACTAAATTTTGACGTAATTAGAAATGAAAAAAACTATGGCTTTATTCAGATATAAACAGAGAAAAAACGAAAATCATCCATACTATATTAGCAGACAATCAACGTATGATAGTCTTTTATGTCATTTTGTTTTTGTTTTTTTATTTTTTACATATATGTATCTTTACATAAAGAATATAAAAATTTATGAGATATCGTTAACTTGAAGTTAAGATGTTTATATAGTTTCTCTCTAACTAAGCTTTGTATTTTTGATTCAAAAAGCATGATTTCCATTCAAAATTGTTGACATGAAAACAGAAAACAAAAAGGCATTCTTAGTTTTATAATTTGTAACCAGCAATGATCTATAATTATTTAACTTTTTGATATGGTACGTTCGATTTAATAACAACGTTGACTTTTTGATCATCAATCATGTAATCAGAAAAAAAAATCAAATAGCAAAGCTTATTTACAAGAAAAATCTATTTGTGGTTTCAATAATCTAAATATGGGTTACAAAAAAAGAAAAACAGCACAGGAAAAATATTTTTCTACTATCCATCTGTTTTTGTTTTGATAAGCATCATATGACATGCTTGTAGAAATATGATATAAATGTGAAAAAAGATAAAGAATGAGGAAAAAAAATCCCTTCAAATCAACCTAAATGTACGTTGTTGGGTATGATACATAAACAATGTAATGTTCTGTAACGATGCTGAAAGGTAATAAATATTTCTTCATACATGATCATCAATGCACAAGAACGAAGTGTACGATTATTTTGATTTTTGTAAAACTCTGATATAAATACACGCCACCAACAGAGCCGTAAATATTTCAGGACTAGGAGTATATCTCATAATGATTGAAAATTTTTGTTTTTTCATCATTCAAAGAAGGAAAACTTCAATTACTTTAGCTAGAAAATTAATGTCCGTGTCTCTTTATCGTTATTCCTGGCTAACATGAGAAACTTCATTGTTAAAAACTAAAGAGAGTTGTATATTAACTTTTTTTTCAAAATCAGTGATCATTAACTTTCAACGGAAATCATTATCACGATGCTGTTCCTTATTATTGAGAACCATGTTTTCTAGCCATTTACCTACGAACAAAATAGGTTGAAAAAAAGACGGAAGTATTTATAACTGTTGGATCATTTACGCTATTTCACTTCTTATTTGGTTGTTTTTTTCTTTATTTTTTCCGATAATATAAACATAAAATCAGAGCAGACAAGAAAAAAAAGCAATGAACTTGTTCCATCATGCTAAACACAAAACATGAGTAATTATAATAAATCAGCAAAAGGAAAGAAGCTAAAATAAATGAAATGTTCGTGTTAAAACCTCGAACAATCCATGTTTGTTTCCATACATATCCATACATAAGAGATATGTGTCTCTCTCTTTCACCATAAATACATAAAATTTTATACGTCATTAATTGTAAATAAACAGAAAAAAGAACTCGAGCAAAAAAACAACAACCGTAAAAACACAAAAAAAGTGACAATGCTGGGCTAAAGAATAATCACTTTTCCATACATTTAAAAGATCAATTCGCCGTCTCCAAAACAAGCCTTTTTTTAAAAAGGAAAAGGTTTATGTAAAAAATAAAGTGAGATATAGAGCAGAAAATGACACACACAACTTACGTGCAGAAAAAAGAACCAATTAGCAAAAAAGAGGATCGTATGTGACAATGAGAGAAAATTGTACAAGAGTTTATTTGAACATGGATATATTATTATTATCCTGTGGTGAATTATTAGTTCCTTGTTGTTGCTGTTCAAATCTGTTTACTTTTTCTTGTAGATTTGATTTTTCTCGTTCTAATTTTTCGATTGTATGACGTTGCTCCTCTGCTTTAACAGATTCAGATAAAAGTTGATCGAGTAATTGTCTTTCATTATTAACTAATGATTCAGATGTATTTGATGCTTGTTGAGGAGACGTTTGTAAAACCATAACAGGACTAGATGTATTTTTTTGTTGTTCAACATGAATGGAAGGTGTGATAATCGGTATTTGTTGAATTTTAATTGTAGGCGGTTGTTTGTTTATCAATGCTGTTGGCAGATGAATAATAGGTGTATGTTTAATTTGTGTTACGGTTGGCGTAGAAATAGAAGACGGTTTTGTTGTTTGTAAAACAATAGTAGGCGGCGATGATGTTTGAGTTATTGGTTTGACAATAGGCAATGGTTGTTGTTGAACAGGTACTTGTTGAGTTCGCTGTTGAGGCTGTGCACGCTTACGACGTTGTGACATGGCACCTGTGGACGGTGTCCAATTTCTTTCATCATTCGATTGTAATAATGATAAATCAACTGTTGTTGGAGGTATAGAATTTGTTAGCACAACATCTTGTTGTTTAGAATTCGTGCCACCATCTTAGTAAAAAGAGTAAAATTAGACTAGAGTATTAGAAAAACATTTATTCGAGTAAAAATAGGGATTTTTTATCATGTTTTTATACAAAAAACAAGTCATATTGATTTGCAAAACTCTTTAAGATATTTGTATAGAGAAAAGAAGACGATACTTACCTCCCAAAGTCACTACTGTGGGGAAAGTAGACTGTTGCTCTTGTGGAAGAGAGACAAATGTTACTGTATTTGGTTTTGTTTGATCCAATGGTTGTGTTGTATTAATATTTGTTATTTTTGTTGTCTCAGCAGTATTCGATCCTGTTTGAGTCTGAACTGCAGCTGCCATTAATGCATGTTGAATATCTTGTTGATTTATTGTTGGCGACAGTAGAACACCTTCATCAACATCGAACAAGTCTTCAATCCTTGTTCCATCAGGTAAATTTGAATAAATTAAATCTCGAATAGAATCTAAAGCAACTTGTATACCATCCACATCATTATTAAAATCATCTAATGAAAATGATTTAATGTCGCCGTTATTATTTCTCACTGTAAGTTGTTGTTGTCCAACTTTTGGAATATTTTGCTGTTTTATATCTTGTTGCTGTTTTTGTTGTTGTTGATAATTAACCATAGGATTCATTGATAATGGCATGGTGTCTGGTGTAGCTAACTGAAATTGATCGACAAAATCCAATTGTTCTTGTTTCATTGGTGTCATCATTAATGTGGTGGTTGTCGGAGCAGTTGTAGTATTATTGGTAAAAGACTAAACACAAAAGTAGATTAGTCAATGGAACAAATGCAATGTCTAAGACAGTTTAATTTAGTCTAATTTTTTATCATCTGAATGATAAAAATGGAATGGCAAAATGCTAGGCTAATAAATCTGCTTTAGACATTTTTGTGATGCAATACGACAATTCTTCATTTACAGATCATCCGAGTTTTATAGCTTCAAAAAAATATTCACCGATCATTATTGAAAATAAAAGAAGTTTGGCCAAATAGATGAGCACACTGGGAGAAAAAAATCCAAACAAGTTTCGGCTAAGGAGAAGAAAATCTCGTTATAATGACGATTTAGGCATCACTTTTATTGCAACAGGTGTCTTGAAACAAGATAATTATTCGTAGTCAAAGTGAAAACTCAACTTCTTTGAACGATTCATCGTTTTTCTGGTTTTTAGAACGCTTTCCATATCAAGGTGAGTTTTGCAAAACATGAAACAAGAGGTGTTAAAAAACGGATATTTTCATAGATTGGAGTATGGAATACAAGAGGATAGACTTTAGTAAGAAGCCTGGTGCGTTTTAACGGATTCAATCTCATAGTCCATCGAGGCCGATTTTTATTAAGAGTGATTTTGTCAGAAGAAGACCAGATGACATTTACTGGCATACTGCAAAACTCTCATTCGTTTAACCGCTTTTTAACGTCTACAAATGCTAAGAATTGCCAATATTACATCACACATATTATTAACTTACATTAATAAATATGATTAATAAACACGAGCATAATTGTAGTGCTAGTTTATTTTTACACAGAAAGAAAAGACATCATGTATGAAAAATAAAACTGAAAAGGCAAACCCCATTCTTCGAACTTAAAATATTCTCCCGGTATTATAGCTTGTTTAAAACTTCAAGTTGCCAGATGTTAGATTATTGTTATCGAACATCCTACATCAATTGTTACCGTATGCTGATCATTTGATGTTGTTTGATTCGTTTCATTATCCGACCGTAAAAAAAAATCTGGCATAAATGTCCCACTATCAACAACATTTCCTATTGAACTTCGATTTGAATATTTATTATTATTTTGTCTGTGGTCATTCCTCGTTGCTGTAGTCGTTGTTGGTCCAAAATCTATGGCATCATCACTATTCATCCAATAATCATTTCTTGGATGTTGTGAGTCATCATCATCGTTATGAAAATGATGGCCACTTGTTTCATCAACCATAAAACCGCCGGTATTTCCGTCACCCGAATGCATTTGTGGTGGTGGTGATGGTACTAGATCAACTAAAGGTGAACTTGTTGTACCATGCAGCCAGTTAGCTTGATCATTGGCGCTTATTTCATTAATTGTCACACTTTGTTGACGACCAATATTTAGCGGATGTTGTTGATGTAATGAATTTAGATTTGGATCATTTGTATGAATGCTGATATTGGGTACAAGGCGTGTGGCATGTTGGATCGATCTATGAGATTGTGGTTGTTGGTGCTGGTGATACTGTTGATGCATACCACCTATGGTAGAACATAGACTAATTAATAAGACTAGTCGTTAGATTTTGGAAAGATAATCATTTTTCTACAACTTACGTTGTTGCTGTGCTTGCTCTTGTTGTTGCTGAACACTACTTCGTTTCGCATGTTTAGGTTCAATACCTATATCTCCAATCATCAATGGTTTACGTTTTAAACCACCATTAGTTCCATTGCCCGTGTTAGAATGCATAACACTATCACTATTTCCATTTTCCAAATTACTACTGTTCTGTAATAAATTTTGTGTACTCATATTTTGTTGTTGCTCATTGACACTCTGTGGCTCCTGTGGATGATGTTGAATTAAATTTGCTTGTCCTGGTCCAATGACTTGTCCTTGATCGTGCTGGGTATTTGATACAAAATGTAACAAAAATTCCATTAATTTTGATACTATTTGTTGTTGTTTTGAATGTTTTTGTCTCAATGAACCAATTTCACGCCACAGAGCTTCATTTTCATTTTGCATATGATGTAATTTTTCGTTTAATGATGTTTGTTTATTCTGTAGTGTTCTCACATCTTCTAGAACATGAACGAATTCAACGGGACGATTTGATTTTGGATCAATATACGATGACTGAGTTAATGCTGACAGTGATGAACCTACATAAGTCTTAATTAAAACAACCGAGCTCTCAGACATTATAGCTGCTTACTTAATTGAGATGTTTGTTGTTGTTTTTGTTGATTTTCGGGTGCTCGTCGTTTGATCAATTCCAATAGAGTATCTTGTCCACGAATAAAATTTGGATGAGCAAATTCGATATCATCGCGTTCCGATTTCAATGAACCATGTTCAATATTAGAGATTTTTCGAAAACCATACATATTTAATTGACGAATAAATGATGCGAAGTTATTGTGTTTAAAATAACGTGGTAAAATTTCTCGTGAAAATCGTGCTTGATCGTAGACATGAAATGAACCACCAGATGGATCCCATGCAATAAGATCATCGCACGTCGAATCATTAACTAACGTCCATAATTTATTAAGAAATGCGGGTACTGGTGTTTGTTGTGAAACAACACCGCTAACCGATTGTTGATGTCCATAATTACCAGATGACATCATACTCACATAAAAGTCACTAAAAGTGATTAATTGTCTTTTAAATATTGTTACAATTAAGATATCGAAAAAAGCAACACAAAATCGTTTTCCAAATGATACAATTCAAAAGTTAAATCTAAAACAGAATGAAAGAAGAGTTTTAGTTGTGTGTATGGATTGTGGCAACGTATACTAATGAAGAAAAACCTAATTGAAAACATCTCTGATCATGTGCTTAGAGTTCGAGAGCTTTTGAAACCTATGCAGCTAAAATGAACGCATTGTATGTTGTTTTTCTCTCAAAACAGTTTAATGCAATGAAGTAGAATTAAATAAAAAATCGAACTTTTGAATCTCTATTAGATAGTGCAAAACGGACATTTTTTTTGTGAAAATGAGACTAGAACGTTCAACTCAGTTATTGATATTTCTGCATTAAAAACTATCCAATTAATTCTTGCGGCAATGCATCGCCAATTCCTTCTCCAGTTGTTTTTGTAAATTTAATAGAAAATTGATATCGATAGATAACAATAACACCATGCCATATTTCTTTTGATAATTTGACTAATAACGATTCCATCTAAATAGAAAAGGTCAAAATACTAATGAGTGATTAATCACTCGATGATGGTGTGACGCTTCGGTTTTTATAATAAAATTTAAGTCAGAAAGATCAATCTATACTTTCAATATGAGGTAATACAAACGAAAGAAACATATCATTTTTAAAAGGCTAAGTATAAAATATTCTAAAATTGAATGGGTATAAAGAATGAATGGTATGCTGTGCAATTCTGAAATATGGACAATAGACGCATATGAGCCAATTTTCCCACAGAACTGCTGTCCATCATTTATACTCAGCTTATAAATATACACAAATTACGGCAGAACAATGACTATGTTTTTAAAGATAAAAGGAGACTTCAATCTCAACTATATTTCGAACAAAATAGCCAAAATTTAGCAATAAAATTTGTGATGCTTGTGGAGTTATATTTGATGTAATCAAAGATCCTATAATAAAGATATTTTTTACGAATGAAATGAGAAGTTAAGATACTGGCAAACCGACGAATACTTTAGAACCAAATCATTTTTCATTTTCTCTTTTCTATATACTTTAGGAAAGGAATTGACATCAATATTCTTTTGATATAATCATAATTTCGTAATAAAACTAATAAAAGATATTCTAGATCTAAAGAAAATGATTACTCCACTTTACAGATGAGAACAATTCAAAGGAATAAAAGTGTAAAGTCTAACTACTATAACAATCAAAGAAAACTAGTTTAAATATAAATTGTACAAGTAAACTGGGTAAGATAAATTTTTTGATTATTTTCGTGTTTCTATTTTATTATCATTTCTTTGATACGCCAATCACACTGGTTTTATGAGGATTTTTCTTAACAGAAAAATTCTCACACATGAAAGTTATCAGTTTCAAACAGTTATACATTAGAATGCGTTAGTTACGTATATCTCTAGTGTAATTGTTTAAATAATGTAGCTGCCATTAACCACATTGAACGCATTGATATTAACGACACGAATTATGTCTCAGCAACGACTAATAATTAGCTACCATAAACATTTAACGGTATGTCCTGTTGTTTCTAGCAATGAATAGCACACAAATATGCATAACTACGAATAATGGCGATGTAGAGGATTTAATCTTTTTTGAAAAAAAATTATGGATTTTTGACATGATTAAATATGATACAATGAATACAAAATTATAAGCGATTTTATCTGATTTGAAATACAACTTTCACTCATTCAAATTCAATGTGTTTATTTATGTCACAAATAAATATAAAAGGAGGCATTGTCTGAGAATATGAAAATATGCGTAGAAATGAAAACTTTTTATAATTTACAAATCTTGTTCTTATTTTAATACATTATAATTTAAGTAGTTTCAATATATATTCTCATGCAACACGAAATAAAAAGATGTAGAGGAGAATTAATTAAAACAGGGAGGGTTCAGTTAAGTAAAAAGTGCACTATGGAAGGTCTTGTCGTTGAATAATACATTACTACACGCAAAACAAATTTCGTTCATACTCTAACAGACAATTTCATCCGCTATTAGCTATATGTTTAAATTAACCAAGAACGTTACTACTGTATGAACTGTTCCCTAATCAATATAAAAAACCTATTGTCAATCGAGTGAGACCACAAATGTGGAAGCTATTATTTCAGAAAAATGACGAAAAACCAGCAACGAACCTTTTTATAGTCGAAATTTTTATATCTTAATTGACATCACAATAAAAAAGTCTTTGGTTATCAACTGTTCGATGTGGTGTGTTCTTTAAAAGTACATCTGTCATTAAAAACGAAAAAGAGTCAATGTGGTATTAATTGTGACTGCATTAACCTATTTTTTTTATTCGTTTCTTTTCACCGGCGAGAAAAAAAGAAGCTGATAGGTAGGATATACCTTTATTTTCTAAGCCTGTTTTTCTCTCTAAAGAGAATGCATTTACTATATCATGGCACGAAACAAATATAACAGTATTGTACGTTCGTTCGTATTTTCATGATGTCTTTAAAAAGAAAAATTTTAAAGATATCGAATGATGTTTAGAGGTAATAATAAATGCCCAAAATAGAAAAATGTAAGTGTGTACTATAGGTATACGAATACACATCACTAGTTTATGATAAATATACAGATTGACGCTTCACAAACTGATCTTATGGCTTCATTGTCCTATTTACTGACGTTCACCGACTGTGAGACTGAGCTAAACCAAAACTTATTCAAATATCTCATATATCTTGTTCTTCCATTTTCTAAAAAATTCATGTAATTATTGATCGGTACATTCCTCAAATTATATTTAGATGCTTAATGTGAAAGACAATTTAAATATATCGTTAATTCTAATTTCCATTAGACTTACGACTTGAAGTTGTTAAAGACAATTAAAAACAGCATCACAATCTACTAATCAAACAAAATATTGTTTTCAAACTTCTAGTACTCAAATCGTTTACGCTGATTACACTATCAATGCTGAATACTCTCCAAAAATAGGTTAAATCTTGAGCTAGAGACTGATCACTATTTTCGTCCACTTAGGAGCTAATATTCGTCTGTGGAATTGAAAATAAATAAAAACTTACTTGCGCAAGATCAACTGTACTTGATTTCTGTTTTGTTTTCGTACTTACTTTCGAAAATGATTACAAAATTCTCTAGACTACATATTTTACTTAGGCATACGTGTCTCTTCTAAACTGATGACTGTTTATCACACTTTGCAAGGATAATTTACAGACAAATTTTAAAACAAACATTTCTTTGATATTCAATCAAGTATCGACTACATCAACTAGATTAACCAGAAGAGACAGAATGACAGACACATTTCTCGCTGTTAAATGAGGAAGAATATGAACTAAGAGCTAAACATGTTTTACCGATCTAAAACTATATCTACTCGAAAAATTACACTATTTTAAGTCATTCATTATCAAAATAAACAGAAGAAGTGAAAGAAAATGTCGATTACAAGATAATAAATATAACTTTCCAAATACTCTTGTGTACCTTTTGTTCAACATACTCAAATATCCCCAAACTAGTAAGCTTAGAAAAAAGTAAAAACAAACTACAGTTGACAAAAAGACGTCAATATACTTACAATTCGAACATCATGGTTTCCCAAATCGACTAAAGATTATGTTCAATCTTTTAATAAGTAAAATATATCCGTTATTTGTTCTGTTGTAGATCGAGCATATGATAAAGATAAATGATAATCTCAATAGAGTATGTCTTGCTTCAACTCCATCAAAAATAGCAAGTGGTACTGATCATGTAACCGTGGTAGCGTTGATGACGAAGTATGATTAGCAGCACTTCACGCCGAAATAGCAACATCATTCTGAATCATTGAAAAGAAGAATAAAAAATGCTTTAATCTAAAATAAAAGTCAGTGCGAATTACAAATTACAAGTGTTTTTTTATTATATTTGTCTTTTTCATCTGAGTTTGGATCATAGGCATGGAAGATAGGAACAAAATTTGTTTGGTTCATCCCTCACGAATAGAGTCGCGGGGGACAAACCTTTCTGTTCCCCTGAGCCCGAACTTGAACACAAAAATTTTTGTCCCGTCCCATAAGTCCGAGCATGTGAGCAAAACATGTTGTTCCAAGCCATTGAATCCAGTCGTCAAACAAGGAATTAGATCCCAAAAGGGGGATATTAGATACAATTAGCCGAAATAGACATATCACAAGATTCCATTAAAAAAATGGGAGCCAATCATCGAAACCAGTTGTCCCTTTTTTTTACTGAGAAACTGATTTTACTGAACTTTTCTGATTGGGTGATAGAAAAATTTACGCTCTGATGACTAAGAAACTCAGTTCAGTTCCGTTCAGTTCAGTTTCTCAGTAAAAAAAGGGAACAACCTCGAAACTTCAGATAACCGGCCGGAAATAGTTGAGTCAACAATAGACAAACAATTAATAAAGAACGACCAATTAAATCCTTGGGTAAATAATAATTCAATGGACGACCTTTTTGACCAACGCGTCTTTTGGAAGCTAATTGGATTTATGCAACATAGTTACTTACCTCTTTTTCTATGTACAGCAAAATGAAAAGCTGTTTTCGCGTGCAAACAATATATTTTTTCAAAAGCTGAAGTAATGGTTTTTTGCATTACTCATGAATGAGGTTCGTATTTAAACTTTGATTGGTTTCGATATGACTCACATGGTCTCACGTTTCTGAGGTTAAGCTAGAGGAAAACACTGGACGAAGGTCGTTACAATCAGCGTAAAATCTCACAAAATTACATTGATAGTAGAGCTCTCCTCCAGCGTTTCTCCTGTAGTTTCTATTTTAACCCGTTTCTGATCTGCTTGAGATATTTACTAGTAGGACGCTCTCTATAGTGTATAATAGTGGATATATCGTGATCTAAGTCATAGAACTTCCATCCAACGAATGTATGCCAGTAAAAATTGATAAAAGTTCACAAAGTCTGGTAATGTGATCTGATGGGTATATTATGGCCTGCATATACAATACAATATACGCTGGTGATTCCTTGATATGAATAAATATTACATTTACATACACCTATTCATTATTAGGTGAAACAAGTTCATTGGATGAAGAATTTAGAATTTAATTAAACAGTGAGAAACTGGGCTTTCATTTATTTTTCAGTTTTGATTGTCTGATTTCATGTTGTAAGAATAACCGTGTAAAGAAGCGTAAAGTGGAGAAGAAAGCATAGGAAAGTGTGATGTTTCGTCTTTCTCAAACATTTTTGCAAAGGAATAGTTTTATTTTGCTTATAATAAAAATTACACGGAGAAAAGCATGGTTTTTAACTTCATTGTTTCTGAAATGTCATTTATATAATTTCGAAAACAATGAGTAACAGATATATCTCATAGCTTGTAATTTCGTGGGTTCTATTACATTATTCGCTTAAATATGATTTGTGTTTTGCTTTCAATATGTCCTTCTCTTTTTTTTGTCTTTGCATGCATCAACTGGTGCACAGAATTTGCGAGTAAGAATGGTTTCGGTGCGTGACAATGTCATTATAAATTGTAGCTTTCTTCTTGTTTGCACATATAATAGCCATACTTTTAAAATTTTTGTACCGTAGTCGCCAGGCGGACATTTGCTATAGAAGCAGTCCGAAAGTCTATAAACACCTTTTTATAGGTTTTCAGATATGCTCTTTCCAATGGCGTGCTTTATAAAGTTCCAAGAGACTTTCATATCAGTTCTCCAGAGACCGGCTCTCTAGAAAACCCACACATAAGTATTCTGGACCCTAGGGTTCCGTTAGATCCAACAAGTTTTTGCTCAAAAAGGCCTGCTGATCGCACATCATTCGATGCAGTTTCTTGCGCTGATTCCGAATATGTAATTTTTGTTGAACAAAAACGTTTCCGAACCGAGAAAATGGAAAATACCTGAAAAACAGATGTTTTGGAAAACCCACTGTATGCTTCAGAAACATTTGCGCATTTTTGCGCATTCACCACGCGCAATAGAATGTTCTCCTGGCATATAGGAGAACATTCTGTGAAAGTTTGGTTAAATTTGGACCTTTGCTGACTTTCGTGCGCTCGCTTTACTAAACTTAGCCCTTCGGAAAATCGCTTGAGAAAAACTTTTTCTAATTTTCTCAGCTATTATAAGTTCAATTTAAAATTTTTTTTACTTATCTATAGCTGATACCATGCAGATTTAGAATATATGTCGTTTTTGATTACAACTTCATTGACTGCTGTAAAAATTTCATTTTTCTCACCGATACTAATATTTCAGGCTAGTTTTTGATTAGCTGTTTTCCAACGATACATAAATTTTGTAACAAAATTTGTTGTCCCATTAAATAGAACATCACTTGAAGTATATTAATCATTATCTGAATCGTCGAAAAGTCGATTTTCATTTTTTCACCTAATGTCCGCCTGGATGCACATTGTGTGATATTACCAACGTGTTTGCTTTAAGTTTGCATATAACAAACTTTTGACAGTTGAACAGTAGAGATGAATTGTACTCGATTTTGAATACAATATACTTGAACAAACAGCCAAAATCAACGTTCCTTGCTCTTTTTTGAAACTATATCAGAAATTATCGAAAATAAACTTTAAAAAGGTCTGAAGTTATCTCTTAAAGATAGGAATTAACGACTCGAGAATAATTTAATCAAAGTAGTAATTGTCAGAATGCTCAATGTTTATGTTAAGAAGCTGTTTTATTGAAACTATCTTCAAATAGAAAAAGAAACGTTGTTTCAAAAATAACACTGTTCACAACGCGTTCAATAACGAAATAGTTTCTTTTCAATGTGGTCGTTCAGAAAAGTGTCAACAAACCTGAATTTTTTGTGATAAAACATTAATTGGAAAGAATATAACTAGACCTCAAGAGCGTTATTTTCAATATAAATATTCAACATGATGAGACCGCCCTTCGATTCTACGCAAGTTCGAAACGTTTACTTAGCAGCGTTCCCGGATGCTAGGACTTTTTCTAAGAGTCCCATTACCCCTCTTTTCAGAAATACATGCCCACAGGATCTTTTTTTTCCTATTGATAGCGTTATAACGCTATAAAGCATGCTTTTTTAAAATTATGGTATTACAACGCGACGGACGTAGCCCATCGTGTTATAACGCGTTGCAAAGTTATTTTTCAGGAATTTATGGCGTTGTAGCTGGATAAAAATTTCCATTGCATTACAACTCTATAAATTATTAGCATTATAATGCGTTTCAATTTTTTATCTCGTCACAACACAATTAGGTTTGTCTACCGCCTTAGAATACGTTAGATTCTAATGTATTATAACGCGTTTGAGTTTTCTACTTCAATATAATGCGTTATAATACCTTGTGTGTTTTATCTAACTATAATGGGTAAAACAGAATATCGACAACTGGAATTTCACCATCGGAATTTCGGCATTGTGTTTTTTGCTCAATATTTTCGACATTGTCGAATTTCAAGTTGTTTTTCGACTATTGTCTTAAGTTCCTGTAATTTCGACAATTGTCGAAAATCCATTTTTGCGGTGGTACATTTTTAAAGTTCAAGAAATTGGAAAAGAAGTTCATATGATGATAGAAGTGAAATTTCTACGATATCAAACATTTTGCCTAGCAACATGAATATGCTACAGAGCATCAGTGAACTGCAGTCTTCTTCTAATAGTTCACAAGTGAAAATAAAATGACAAAATAAGACTTAAACCTGTGCATCCGAACATTAACAGCATAGTGTAGGAGTACAAGAAACGCGCGGATAGAAGAAGATCGGACGAGGCGACTGCAGTTCGTGGAGATATCGAACGCAAAGTGACGGAGATACTGGCGAAATCTAGTAACCATTACGTATGTCCACAAGGCGGAAAACAATTTAAACCGCAAGGAATAACGGGACATGTGAAGGCATGTGCCAAAGACTGGTGCAAAAAGAATAAGATCAAACTACCGAAAAAGTAATGCAAGAACAAACTGAGACTGTTTCTCCTTAGTGCAATGATGGATACTATTTAAACTAGTTATCTGGAGGGTAGTATGCTGATGATATACCTTGAAGCAACGTCTCAATGTGAACGAACGGGCCGGAAACCGAAACAGACACCTTAACTTTTTATGTTTTTTGTGTTTATTGTTACTTTTATTGATTCTCACCCTACACTGCAAGGTAATGGGTCTAATACATACATACATAATACATTGTAATACTATAAATTTATAACGTTATAATGTGTTAGATATTACAGCGGTATAACGCATTAATCTGCAACGTGTTGCAACCCACAACAGGTTATTGCATTATAATACGATAGGAATTTGGTAACGCCTTATAACGGTATGCAAAATTACTAACGCGCTAGTCAAATTTATAACGTTGTAACATTATAAAATATGAGAAAGTCATTGATAAAAATGCATTATCACACTATAGTTTCAATTTTTGGGGTAGTTTTTTCCACGTAACTCGTTACGCTAATGCGTTACAATGTATTAAAGACGTGTTTTTTCTAAATTTATCACATTATAACACAATAGAAAAGCTAACACATTACAAGGCATTACGATATGCCTAACGCATTATAATGTAGTAAATACGAAAAAAAGATCCTGTGGGTGGCCATCTCTGTTAGTCACTTATTTACTTCGGTCAAAGCGTCAGTTTGTCTCGAACATTAGAATACAATTTCCTTTTATATCTACAGTGCATATTCATGCAAAACAAATTCAATCCGCACATTGAACATTAGAGTTTACTAGAACAACATTTAATACATGAAGAGAATCATAATAATAATCAAAAAAATTTATATTATTTTTCACTGTTGTTTGTCCACAGAAACAAAAAACAAGGAAATCTGTACAAAAACACAAAAAGATTACATCATACAAAAGCAATACTCTAGGAGCAGACAACTATAACGGAAACAAACAAGCGAAAATAATATAGTCCATATGAATATGAAAGATATGTTTCATCACAAATAAAAAAAACAACAGTCGTCAAATTAATCCCTGAGAGATAACTAACTTACTTTAACTAACATACTTTTTAAATTTATAATTCAATGTTTTGCAGAAGAGTAGATGTTGGCAACACTATTCGACATGTAATTGATCTTGGTATAAGTTTATCCAAAAATGAGTCCTAATGAAATTAGTATTATGGTGATTACTTACATATATAAAAATTTATATAACTTACATTATGTGGACAATTTCGTCGTGCATACCATTCCATAAAATAGAGACAACTTTGAAATCCAATACCAACTAACAAAAATACCCACATCATAATGTTCCATAAATTACCTTTGTTCTTGTTGCTCATGAGAAACAATAATGCAACTAAAATACATACATAGACAATATATATTTTTGCATAGAAGTAGATCGAAAAATAAACATACTTCCGCAAACACCAAAGAGTATAAACATAACAGGATAAAAGAATCCAAGTGCAAATATCATTACATATTCATGAAATATTGCACTTAAAAATACAACACAAAATGCAGCCAACGACTTTCGTCGATAACCAAGTAACTGAAATAAACATACATTAATTTGTAATTGGAGTCTTAGAAACTGAAGAAAAAAAATACATACAATGTAAATTTCTCTATAAACATATGTAAATAGCCAGTCATGTACAACAACGTTCCACGTTCTATAGTAGGAACCAAATGAGGTTGAATTCCACCAGTCCTAAAAGAAAATCGGCAATACCAATCATTTCCAGTAACAATAACAATTAGGCTCTGAAATAAAGGATTAAATAAAATTTCATCCTTTCATCTTCCAAGATAAATAAGACATGTTGGGCAAAATAAATTTGCCGAAGAACGTTTACTTGCATATAGCCTTACTTTATAAAATAGTCGATCAGAAAATCGTAGCATTTCAGCAAATGCATTTAGCCAACAATGCAAAAAGCCATAGAATCCTAAATGAAAAAAAAACAACCATTCACTGATAGTCTGCAACATTTCCAGGGCTGCACTAGTTTCAGTAACTGAGATTGATCGAAACTGAAACTGACAAAAACTGATCAAACTGAAAAATCTAATTTCATCCAAAATGATTTTTGAAAGGTACTGAATCCACTTCTGTGATTCTTTCAAAAAATTTTATCAGTTTTTCAGTTCCAGTTTGTTAGACGAAAACTAAGATTGGTGCAGCCTTAACCCTTTCTTCTTTTTTATCAGTTTACCCAACAATAAAAACAGACAGCCGGGCATGATTGAATTGAACAAGCATGATGCAAATAATGACACTGTTATTTCTGACGTATTCAAATTGGAAAATGTTGGTACACAAAATCGAACAACAACATAATACACATAGACTATTGCGGCCAATACTTGACCAAAATTATTTAAAACATAATCCCAACGTATAACTGAATTACGCGGATACGAATCACGATAAATAAGTGTCGGAGCAAATAGAAAATATAGATAGTGTGAAAAATCTGGACAGGTAATATTACATGCTAAACGTGTATCAGTTGAATCGGACTCTAAATTGAATAAAATGCTGAATGAAACAAAAATGTCTATAATAAAGCAGTGAGGTAGTGATTAAGCATGAGAACCTAGTACACATACACAAACAATTAATCATAAGCGTACAATTAATCATAAGCGTACTGCAGTCATTGGTTAGTTGATGAAAGCTACGAACCATTAGTGTTAGATGGATGAACACAGAAATTACATTGAGAAAGAATTTTTGCAACATTCTCACGAACAAACGCATGGGCTTTCATTAACTGACGTAACTGAAAAAAGAAATAAGAAGTAATCTATATAATACGTACTGTCAAACAAGCAAAAGAGAGAAGCAACCTACTTGCTCAAGAAGAACGACTAAAGAAGAAGCAACTGGCAATTCGTTTAAAACTACTTCACGACAGGGAAAAACAAGAAAAGCAATTATATAAGCCACATAAATACAAAGCCAGCTAAGATCATACAATCCTAGAACAAATAAAAAGACCAAATTGTCGGAATGGCATCGAAACAACATGCAAATGAGTCGTAACGACAGAAGATTGTCTTGCAGAGATATTTCATTTCATTCTTTGTTACAAATTAAAATAAAAACTTTTCTAATTAGTTAAAAAAATGATGATAACTCTTTGAACTTATGCTTTATATTTTTAAAGATAAGAATAGATAAGATGCTTTAGATCTAAGATAAGACTTTTTAACAATACATACTAAGCTTATTGGATTGTTTTATATATTTCACTCTGTTTGTTGCCCAAGCGTAAAAACAAAGATAGACAATAACAGCTGTGGACAATTGCATAACAAGCCATGTGAATAAAGCAATATGAAGTTTACCAAAACACCAGAATATAAGTTCAAAATTCAAATTCATTCTAAGAAATACATAAGAACAATGAATATGCCAAATTATTTAAATCGCAATTGACTACTAACCTTCCAGTTTCGATGAGATCGTCGATAATAACTTGAAAGACAAACAGAATTAATATAGCAATAAATATATTTCTTATGCTTCGAATATGAGATACTTCAAATAAATCTGTTAGCAGTGAATTGCACGGAAGAAAGACTCGATCTTCTATCAGACGACGATTTGATCTAAACAAATACAGAAAAAAATATAAAAAAATTGATGCAAGGAAAAATAACCCACTTACTTTAGAGGTTTTTTCGTGATGGATTTAGTTAATCGATGTTGAAAATCTAGATCATTTCTGAATTCAGAAAATCGTTCGTTCATTTCATTTTCCATCCAATGCAGTTGATCAACCAAAGTCAACTGGAAGTTCTAATGAGCAAGACAATATTCAAATTACATCTTCTATCATTTTCTAAATATGAACTTTATTACTTACTCGAGTTTTGTGTAGAATACGTTGCGCATCCATTAACTGCTTTTCATCAACTGATTCGTCCATTGTCGTTGTTGAAACTTCAGCTTTAGTTGTGGTGTCCATTTCGGTTTTCTCGACTTAAAACAAAATCTTCCTATAGCAGGATTAAACAGGATAGAACGCGTAAACTCTATACCTATTGGAGATGTGGTTGACATCGTTCAGAACAATATTAATAAGTTGTTTGAAGAAGAACAAAGCGTTTTCACAAGTAAATCAATAAATTACTGCTTTAACCTGCGTTAAAGCAACCGTCCATTAGATAAAAAAAGTAAAGGTCGATATTTTTAACAGAAAAGAAAAGAACAGATGTTTGAGCATGCACTGCCCCATGCATCGCCAAGTAATGACTCATTCTAGAAACAAAAGCCTATTGGACAACATTTAGAAAATCGAAAACTTGAATGCTACCTCTAAGTATTAAAAAAGTGGTTGTTCTTAAACTCTGATGATATAAATAGAAGAATTTTTTCGAATTACTTTCAACTTGCTAAAGATCAATATCTTGACCAAGCAAAAATTTGTTATTTTGACTAGCTGGGGAATGAGCGGGACGTATCCTAGTCGAGACTCCCGATAAAACTACCGCGGGACTCTTGTCCCGGGATCCTCCAGGATCCATCAGGAGTCAGCTGGGACTTCCGAGGGACTCCCGTGAGACTTTGAGGACTTTCGGTCGACTCCCGCAGAACTCAAAAGTCCTCAAATCCCACAGGAGTCCCAAGCGAGTCCTCAGGAATCCTTAGGAGCCCCTTGAAAGTCCCATCTGACTCCCAAAGGATTCCGCTAGGACCCCGTTACAGGAGTCCCGTGTGAGTTTTGTCGGGAGTCTCGACTAGAGTAGTTTGCTTTATCAAAAGAATATATTCTGTTGCTCAAATTATCTGCCCAGAGAAAGTTGCATATTGCGTTTGTAGAGCAGTAAAGATAAGCGAGATCTTAAGTTCATCAATATCTCCTGTTTCTAACTGGACAATAAGAAGTCTCATATCAGACATTTAAACATCAGAATTGAAAGACACCCTAATGAAAGTACTCATCTTACGAGTACGACTTTACTCAGAATTCGTCCATAAGTACTCATATTAGGTCTACTAATACCCTTTAAGTATTTTTACTCAGTGAGTACTCAGGAAATATTCATTCATCATTTTGTTTTGCAAAAATGAAACTGTATAAAGAACGTAGAATTTAGTGAAGAAACATAGGATATTTATATGATATTTTTCTCGCTGGTATCTCTATATAGTTAGAGATGGATTCGTCTGTGAATAGTCCAACTCTGGCTGACTGAGATCACTCCTCTATATGAAAAATACCAGATGAACAATACTCATGACGGTGTTCTTCAACAACTGAAAAATCGATGGGAACTTTGGAGACTGAAGAGCAAATGTTGAGTTCTTGAGAGCTGAAGAACAGAATTTGAGTTCTCTATTTGGGACAAATGAAGAATAGAATTCCTATTGATTTTTCAGCTCTTTGAAAAACTGATGAACACGTTCTTTTTAGAGTGTAACAATACTCGAATATGAGTACTCAAAGTCGTTCCCACAGTACTCATTACCCACTCATGAGTACCCATGTGAGTACTCAATGCTTACACAAAATCTATGAGAACACGTCCGGTTTTTCCAGCAGAGTACTTTTTGAGTACTCACGCATGAGTAAATTCACCAGCATTGGCCACCGGACTTTTTAAGACGGTGTAGTTGTCTAAAAGATTAGTAAACAGTAAAAACAGTATAAATAGGAAGGAAAAACAAATGATTTACGTACTTCAAATACTATACAGGCAGATATACATTTAATATAACCGATGACCAATTTAAATACTTTCTTTTTACATTTAATATACATTGAAAAAAGAAAGTTATCGCACAACTTATTCATACACTTATGAACACAGTGAAACAGCACTTCAGAAAATGTGTGTTCATTCTGTTTTCGACTATTTACAAGATCATTTGTTAAATTAAAACATGACAACGAGATAAATTGTGGATCAAGTATTGTAGAAAGACTTTGCGTTTCTCCAAAAAAAGAAAACCGATACGACATGAGGAAGAATTCCCAAGTCGACGCTCGCGTCTAACTCGCGGCGCGATCGCTATCAATTCGCAGTGTCGCGGCGCGATCGCCATCAACTCGCGAAGTCACGACGCGAGTCGCTATCAAGTTCTATAAAAGAATAAAATTTGATCGCGACTTTTTTTAATCGCGACAAGACTCCCGTAGTCGCGCCGCGATCGCGGGTGAGTCGCTATTCACCGAACTTATTTTGCAGATGAGAGTAATATATTACTCTATATATTATATATATATATATTATCTTTACATAAATATATATATGTATTTTAGAAGACTCGTGAGTCGCGATGCAATCGCTATAAAGTCGCGTAGTCCCGGAGCGACTACCGGAGTCGCGACATTTAATAGCAAAAATCTGCTTAGTCGCGGCACGAATCCCAAAAAAACGGCTATTGGGAGCAAATTTATACAAATCGCGACTTTCTCGTGAGTCGAGGAAGGGTCGCGCCGCGACAATAGAACTCGCACCGCGAGAATGGAAAATCGCGATTGATTACCTAATAAAAAACGCGAGTCGCGTAGCGATTATAGCAAATGTATGGAAAAACTCGCGTTTCATCGCGACTTTATAGCGATCGCGAAATTAGCGAGAAATTTCGCGAGTCTATAAGCGATCGCGTTAGGCGTTCGCGCCGCGACTTTATCGCGATAGTCGACATGAGTTTGCCAAGAAAAGAAAAATTTGAGAAGCATTATATGTGCCAGATCCTTCCAAAAAGGCAATTGTAGGACATGTAGCATTGATTTTAGTGATAAAAATAGAAAGTTTAGTATTTGTTTAGTATTATTTAGTATTTTTAATGACTGAAATTGGATAGGATATAATTCGTGACAACTAATGGCAGAGAGCAAAGGCTTCAATATAGTTGAATAAGAGAGAACATATGTTTGATATAACAAACGACACTGTGCGAAGCTCCTCTGCCCCGGACTACGATGAATTTAAGCATACCGATATTGCTCCTATATTTTGATTTAATTTTTTGTATATGATGTGAAAAACTTAATTTACTATCAATCCACATTCGTAGACATGTATACAATGGAACAAAACTGCGTTTTTTTATTGCATTGACTATTTTAGAAACGCCTTGTAGATATGAAATAGAAAATTAACGATTGCTTAGATAAGAGTGTACCCTAGTGAATGTACTCAAGTGTGAGTACTCAAAAAGTACTCTGCTAGAAAAACCGGACGAGTACTCATACATTCTTTTACTCACTGAGTACTCACCTGAGTACTCATGAGTGAGTAACAAGTACTCTGAGTACGACTTTGAGTACTCATGCGTACTCATACATTTTTTTACT